CCCAGAGAGAGACTGGAAGCTTCGTCTGCTTGCAAATGGGTGCTTAGAAACCAAGTGATTCACTCCGTCTCCAAGTGTCCCAGTTTCCCTCTGGGCGAAAAGTGTGCATTGTGTCCAGATTACCTGCCTCCACCTCTGCCTCTGTGCTTGGGCTTACCTGCGCTGCGCCAAGGGACCAGCGCTGTGGCTATTGCCGGACACCGTTGGCCCCCGCACACTCACTGCCGCTTGTGCTGGTCACGCCCACCCCCGGGTTGATTTTGGGGGTAAGTCTTATTTTCAGGGAAACACGGTATGTCCCATTCAACACACCTTAAAATCATGACAAAACTTAATACAGTAATGACAAATGTGGCCAAAACAATTGTAGTTTTCAGAACAGAACAATGCTACAGTGGAAAGCCTTGGAAAGCCCAATAAGATTGGCACTGTATGCTAAGCAAATTTGTACTTACTTGTGTTCTATGCCAAGTAGATTATTATTATCTGGTGTCATGTACTGCTCAAGATCTCAGACCTTTGCCCTTGTAACAAGGCAAAGTAAACCCTCTAAACAATGTAGTGTTCAATGAGTCAAAGTTATTAATTAAACATAATGTGCCATAAAAAGCTCTCTTGTGCTCTGAGGCACCTTTAACAAAGAAGAGAGTTTTGAATGCTTTTTGCTGCAATAAAAGATTTCTGCTCAGTTCAAGAGATTCCAAGACTACAATCATACCTGATAAGGAGAAAAGATGTTTTATTTTCCTCCCCTTCAATTTGCATGGAAGGACCCTGGGTACCTTGTGAAGAGAGCTGTTTGGGCTTGATGCAGTATTTTGGGGGCCACAAGTGAGTCTCAGTGCCCTACATATTTGCATACTATTTTGGTCATGTAATCTTATGACCCAAACCATACTTCTGGCTTACAATCACTGTCTAAAATATACACTCATCTAACACAGGCTGATTCTGTGAATACCATTCATCGTGTCATAAATGATAGCAGCTTGCTCCCAATCACTGTGGAATCAGCCATTTTATCCTACTAATAATGAGATTTATCAGGCTGACTTCCAGGTGAACCTACAGGTAGACCTCGACTTACAACAGTTCATTTAATGACTGTTTGAAGTTAGAACAGCCCTGAAAAAAGTGACTTATGACAATTTTTCACTTATGACCATTGCAGCATCCCACAGTCATGTGATCAAAATTCATTCCTCATAATACTATGAAATATTTTCCTTCATATAAATATATATAATAAAATACATTATTTTAATATAATAAATGTCAGGGGGGTTAAATAGATCTGTAACTTCAAGAAAGGATCAATAAGCTGAAGACTTTGAGAACCCTGATCTAAACCATAAAATATCAATGTTATATGTTGCACAGTATTTATGCTATCTCAATAGGGTTGTTAATCTGAGTGGCTAATTGTTTTACACTGTCTTGGTTAGAAAAACTATTTATGCTGTATTTTTTACTATTCATTTTAATTATTGTATTTTAAGATATTATATATATATTTAAAATATATATATATATTTGTTTATATATACACACACATATATATATANGTCTGCCCGGGCGGTGAAGGGCCGCGGCGGCAGCGGCAGCAGGACGGTGAAGGGCCGCGGCTGCCCGGGCCAAGGTGGTGCCAGGCGGCGAAGGGCCGCGGCTGCCCGGGCCGAGGTGGGGCCGGGCGGCGGAGAGCTTGGCGGCGGCAGCAGGAGGATGGGGAAGGGGCGCGGCTGCCCGGGCCGAGGTGGGGCCGGGCGGCGGAGAGCTTATATCGGCGTATAACACGCACACATCATTTGCCCCCTATTTTCAGGGGGGGAAAGTGCATGTTATACGCCGATAAATACGGTACATACAATTACTCTAAAATCAAGGAGTAGCTTTGAAAAGCTATCTGGAAAAAATGTGGTTTTACTAGAATCTAAAAGTCAATATGGTTCCCTGTAAATCCACATCAAACACGTCTACGGAGATTCTTAGTCATCCAGGTCATAGTTATCACAAAGATGCTTTTTCAAGAGGCAATTGGACTTTGTTTTTCCTTGAAGACATTTCGCTTCTCATCCTGAACTGAAGAACTTCTTGGATGAGAAGCGAAACGTCTTCAAGGAAAAACAAAGAAAGTCCTCTTGAAAAAGTATCTTTGGGACCATATCAAACTCATTACAAAGTATAAAAATGTTTTATATCTAAAAGATGATATTTCAGATGAGTAAAATATCTATCTTTGTAGTAACAACCAACAACGTATTATATGGAGCTTGTTACTATAATAACATCAGGAGGTAATTAATATATGTTATAAGCAACGCATATAACTGTAATAAATCAATTTTGGTTGATATTAACAAGAGGTATCAGGAGCAAATCATGCAAAATGCATTTATTTAGAATTAGCACCATCCAGTGGACTAGGAAAGTCATGTCAATTTAAAATGTCTGACCGACTATCATCAAAATTACTTACGAGTTACAAGCCTTAGAAGGCTTATTCTGCACATAAAGCCTTTACTACCTGGGACTTCTTAGGCAAAATGCAATACATACCAGTGAAGCTACTTCCTAATATATGTGGATATTAGATTTTTTTTCCAACCCCAATATCCCCAGCATTATTAAGTGAAAATTTCAAGAGAGCAGCTGTGTGGGTGAGAAGAGAAATGCTTTTTTATGAAGTCACTATAGAAGCTAATAATGATACAGTTGAAGGACGGCCATAAGGGCTGAGGATAGCATGTCTACTTGCTTATTCTGAAGAAATCTGCAGTCTTTCCTGATGAAATGGTGAGAAGGCCGTGGAGAGGCCAGCGGTACCCAGCTCAAGCAGCTTGGCCAGTGAAAGAAGTTCTGAGTGGATTTCCCAAGGCCTTGTTAGTACTTGCTAACAAGAAGCCACATCCATTGTCTTTTTGTTCACTGTGATGCACATACAAAGTCCACTTCCTTCTACCTGGAGCTAGTACAAGGGGTTTTCTTCCTTCTTTTTTTATGCATCATGAAAGCAACACCAAATACTGAACATAAAACAAATGGTGGGAGGGAGAACTAGCATCACCATCTCACACACCATCTTACTACCTGCAGAGGCACAGACCCAAGCACAGGCTAAGCACTGAATAGTTCTGCAACAATGTTAAGAGCCAATTTGTTTACATACAATGGCGTTGTCCCATTCTCTCTCATTCCCATTGAGCAACTACTCAATCATCCCATCTCAATACATTTGTTAAAAGTCTGTGCCTATCAAATTAAACTCTGCTTTATACATTTAGGATAATGGGATGGCGTGTAAAGTTTTAGACCAAAGCAACTGGCTACAGTGACAAAATTCATCAACCCATGACATTGACAAAATGTAAAGTACATAACAGTAGGGGGAAAAAAACTTTTAGCACATACAAAACGTATGCTTTTAATCTATGATCAGATGGGGACGCTACTTATAGTAGTAGTATATAGATCAGACCTGAGAATTTTACAGCCCAAGGGCCACATCCAGCCTATGGGCAGCCCCAATTGGCCAGCAGCAGCAGGGGTGAGATGTTAGCAGCAGCCCTCCACAGCAGTCCGAGTTTCTCATGTGGCCCATTTGGAAAATTGTGCCCCTCCCCACAATACAGACAGGAAAGGATTTACTCTATATCAATCTTTTATCTATCATCGCACTTTTAGAGATTGGTAATTTCAGATCATTTCCTTCTGCTTTCTTCCCAGATATACACACATAGAGAACATACTTTTAGACCAGCGGTTCTCAACCTATGGGTTGCGACCCCATTTGGGGTCGATCGACCATTTCACGGGGGTCGCCAAGCAAGGCTGTCCGCCATTTTTTTTGTCCAATTTTTCCTTTTCCGGCGGGTGCCTTACCTCCCTTGGGCTGGGCCAGCTGGTGGTCGGCCTGCTCCGTCTCTGCCACTTGCCAGCTATGCCTCGGCCGGCGCAGGGGGCGGAACCACACATGCGCGGCGCTCCCGGGCAGGGAAAGTCCTCGACTTACGACCGGTTGGGTAGTCCTCGACTTACGACCGGTTTAGTCGACTTACGACCGGTTTAGTCCTTGACTTATACCGATTGGGGGGCCGCGGCATTAAAAAGGTTGAGAACCACTGTTTTAGACTCTCCTTACGTTATGATATAGTTAGCTAGGTGCTGTCCATGTATTTCTTGTAAATAAATCCGCTGTTATAGAACCTACTTGAATTCTGTAATTAATGCTAGAAATCGGATTCTTGTTCTCAAAGCACTCTATTGCTGTTGTGATTCTTCGCCAGCCAGTGGATCTGGCAGCTGAGTCTGAGGAATCAGATGAGGACGAGGAGCCTGGAGTGACATTAGAGTTAGAGGAAGGCTCTGAGGAGCTTCAAGACTTATTCGTACGAGGAACCTGGCCCCTCTACTTGTGCTCAGGATGAGACATAGCTGTGCTGGGAGCCTGAGTTGGACAGTGATGAAGAACAGCTGGGAAAAATCCTGGATGCACGAATGCGCAGGCAAGAGAAGCGAGTAGGACAGAGGAATACAATGGGGCAGCTCCAAAGGCAAAGGAGAAGGCACTAGGAAGCCATGCCTTGGCTGAATTATAAAAGGGAAAGTGTGGGAGGTGCTAGTTGTCAAAGGCAACCGTTTGTGTTGAGGATCGGGTTTCTGTGGACTGTTTTTGTTTGCCTTGGACATTGACTCAGGTCTGTGAGAATAAAAGTGGTTGGTTTTTTCTTGCGGTTCCTGCCTGTTTCTTGGAAGAGGGGTTTCTCCTTGTGAGCACAACAAGGACTTATGTAGGCTGGGACAGAACAATTGCACACATATAGGATCCAAGATCCAGGCTGATTAGAACTCCCTTACTCCTAGTAATTATGCTTATGATTGCAAATAAGTAAACATACAATCTTACCAGCTGGTAGAGTCAACTACGACAAAGTTATCAAAGGTCTGACTGAAAAAATACATCTTTGTGGGCAGTGAAACACAATGATTCTTTTGTGCAATAAAATTACATTCTTTATTCCCAGAAAAATGCATGTGTCAGATAAACGTTCAAATAATTGCATTAAAGACATTAAGAGAAAAGCACTAACATAAACCTAAATACTATACAACTATATCAAGGTACACTACTCTGTAAAAATCACTCTGCCTTATTCCACATTTTACAGAAATGTTAAAGATGTAATAGTATTTGGATGCTGCTGGAACTTCTATTTACATTCCATAGTATTCCTCACAAACATCTATATTCCTCACAGTTTATCGTAATTAAATTCCTATAGTAATATTAGTGCAGTATTAAAACTGTACAAGCATTAGGAAACATTTGTCACAGTCAATTCACAGATAGGTGAACCTATTATAATATAAATCTGCTTCATCTATTCTGGACAATGCCATGACTATCAAAGAATTAAACAGTGATGGCTTTTGATTGTTAACGCCAGTTGTCCTACATATATACTGATAGGTGGCATATCAAAGTTTCATAATCTTTCTGGAATATTTTTCCTCAGTGTTTGACATCTGCATGGGATCATCATCAGTCTAACTAAATAAATGCTAACAAATTGCTGCACACATTTTTTGGCTATTATGTAATCTACAGTATATTCCAAATCCTCCCAATGAAATACTGTAGTAATTTGTAGAGTTGTAATGAAATAGTGATAAAGAGGGCATGCATAACCTGATGATTATTCTTATAAAAACAACAAACAAAAGGATGGTTTTCCTGTCATTTTCAGCTAACTATGGAAATAACAGCTGCAGCTAGCTTTGAATGCTATCAGATGAAATTGGCAAGATGGAGGGAAAAAAAGAAACAATGTAATCCCCTTTTAAGTGCATATCCATTTTTACCAGCAACATTTTTTTCTTTTTCATTTTTTTCTCCAGCTGAAGGAGCAATTATATGAAATCTGAAAGCTAAGTCACTATTACTAAATGTGTAGCTTTAGTTGCTGTAGCTATTTGTATTTTCTCTGACAGGCCAACTAATCCACTTGGATTTCTTTTACTGGTTATGGGTGTTATAGCTAGAGGGTTTTTTTTAACCACTATTACTGAAGAATACAGTTTATACAGAAAATTCCTAATATTAAGCACTAAGAAAATAGAATCCATACCCTTAAAGTATTTAATCTTATAAGCATCCAAAAATAAAATGAAGTAAAAAAGTAAAATATATTATGGCATTTGGCAGCATATAATTTTCTATATGTGCCATACTAGAAAACAGCTTTTGTTTGTCGTCATGGCTATTTGGTCCAAGTCACCTCTTTTGAAACAATGCTGCTGGTTTTGGTCAGAACCTTACAAATTCTTACTAGGTAATAGCCTTCAATGGCACTAGGCTCTTGGATTAAGCCATTTGTCAACTGAAGTTCAACAGGCATGTTAAATATACGGTATCTTGAAACACTGTTATTTACAAAATATTCTTTCATGATGTCGAACCTCAGCCATTTCTTTCAGATATCAATGGAAGAAAATCCCCTATTCAATGTTTCTACATATATCCTGATATATTAGTTAAATATCATAGAAACTGCTTCTTTAAAGACTAGGACAGAAGTGGGGAACCTTGGCTCTTTTAAATGACTTGTGACCTTCAACTCTCAGAATTCCTGAGCCAGCAAGATTTCCCACCCCTGGACTAAGAAACAAGGCACAAGCAGGTATAAGATGTGTGATGTTTTTCATTACAGCACTTTATGTTACGATGTTATTTTACAATAGCCGTTCAAGGGAATAAAATACCCAGTTTCATTAACATGAGGGCACACATTTGAAGTCTTTATGATGTCAGACAGACCCATTTTTTCATTTGTTACAGAATACCATCATCTCAAAACTTATTTATAAGAACAGATCTGTTAATCTGTGACATATCCATGAGAGAAAATGTTAAGCTATATTGTATATAGCCAGCTCGTGTCTCCTTTTTTTTTAGGTAATAATAAAACCAATCTTCCCAAACATTATATACACTGCTTTTCAAAAACTCTTTCTGAGCTACTGCATAATCTCATACAATCTTAAAACTTTCTTCAGGTCGGCTATGAAAATATCAGCTCCCTCATCAGATAGATCATTAACATCTGGCAAGAAAAGGTTTGCTTTATCAGAGGTAATCAAATTATGTGACAGAAAGTGCACACCAATTTTATTGCAATAATTTACCATTATCTCGTTAATTTCTTTTTGGACTAGTTCCATACATTGAGGCTTCAGATTTTCTCTCCAACTATGTCTTGGTAACAGTGAAGACCAAACTATAACAGTATCTGGAAATGCTCTTTTAAGAATGCCTAAATCATTTCGCACTGAGATAATGAATGATTTATTATTTGAGTGATACAGATCATCTTCACCAAGATGAATTATTATTACTGATGGAGGAGATCGGAGATGATAAATTTCATGCAAAAGAGGCATAAGCTGGTTCCACCTCATGCTCGGTATCCCACGCCAAAACATATGCGCCCGTGAAGTTGAGATGCCCAACTGCAATCCATGAGGGTGACTTTGTGCTCTTTTCTCCAATGTCGAGATCACAGAATTCCCACATATCCATATTTCCTTTGGTGCAGGTTGCAGATTTGCAATACCTAAAGACAAAATACCACATTAACTCCTTTGGTTCAAGTTCTACATAAATTTACTATTCCAACATCAGAACAGCAATAATCCCCCACTTCTGGTTTGACGTCATGGCGGGACGGACGCAGAAAGACGGGGCTCAGTCTTCTGCTTTCGATTTTGCCCCGCTGGGAACCCTAAAAAGAGTTGAAAGTCACCCCGAAGAGGCGACAAGCAAGGAGGGGTCCCTCGTTGATTGCGCGAGGGCGGCGGCCCTTCCTTTTGATCCAAGGAAGCCCTCCAAACCGGTGGGGGAAAGACTGGCTACATATATATATATGGCTCTGAAATTTGGGGACTGAAAGTATTTTTAAGATATTTTTTTTAAAGAGACTTGAAAAGTTTGCAATATAAATTTGGATTTAAAAAGCTGAAAAACGGTGTTAATGACATCTAGTGGTGAACTCTGGCACTACAATTTATTATGCCTAAAAGAAACCTGGTTCGAAACCCAGACCTAGATAAGACTCTGGCTGGCCTTAGAAAGTTTCACCTTTGAAGACTGCAGCTGGGAAGGGGGGGGAACCTTTGGGGCTGCTTATTGGCCTGCCTGAACTACGAATACAAATACTGACTTTTAGAGCTGTGTTGTGGAACTATTTTCCTGTAGAAGAAACATGAACTATTGCCTGAGATGATGGAATACTTTGGATTATAAATCTTGATTGATAAACAACTTTTAATGATTCTTTTTTCTCCCTGGACAGAAAGGATATATTCTCATGGGACAGAAAAACTTGAATTTCACTTATATTTGCTTAGGGGAGGTTGGTTGGATAATCAAGAACAAATTGATAGGTTGGTTGGATAATCTGGAGCTCCAATGACAATTGACTGAAACTTTCTAAATCCCTAAACAGACTTACAAAAAATAAAATGGATGTTCCATACTTAGCTCTAAATGGTTAAAAAATATCGCTAACATCTGTCCCCAGAAGCCTCAGCTTGACATACCACCAAGAAAATATTGAGGAATCTCAGAAAGAAATTCTCTCTGTGTTGAAATGAATACAAGAAACAATTGCCTCAGCACGTGATGAGATTAAAAATAACACAAAAGAGATAAAAGAACAATTTTCTAATCTAAATCTACAAACTCAAAAAATGACTACAGAGAAGGAAATAGCAACCCAGAAAATAGAAGGAAAACTAGAGAAAGCAGATCCAAAGATGGAGGACCTAAAGGAAGGAACTAATGGACAGACTCAGACAAATGAAGAATTAGAAGACATAATAATATTGGAAATGGAAAAGACATTTTACCAACCAAGATCTCAGAACAGACTTGAGGATAAGGAAGAAGAGCCTATAGAATGGAAGATACAGCTGTTAACAGAACTGTGGGGAATTGGAGAAGGAGGGAGGCTGTTTAATGAATATCAGTGGGCTGAGCATTCTTCCAAAAATACTTTAACCAAATTGTCTTTCTTATTTCAAACAATATACACAAAAATAGAGGAAGAATTATTTGATGATTCAAATATGTTAACTTGGAAAGTTAGTTGGCAAAAGAAGAAAGCTAGAGTAAGACTGAAGAAAATAGAAGCTTTGACCTATTAGATGGGATATTATATTATTAATTAGATGTTTGAATATGGTTGAGAATAGATTGTTAAAAATAGACGTATTATCTTAACTAGAAAGACAGGATTTGTAATCAGAGTATCATATTTTGACATGAAAAGGGAAATAAGAAAATGTTAAGCTTGAATAAGGGAAGCTTTTGGTTACCCAAATATAATTTGCTTTGAAACTATAAACAATATTTGAATATTGATGGAAATTAAAATTTAAAAAAAGCAAAAACAGAATATTGACTGAATAAATGGATATTGAATACAAATGCAAATGTTGCATTTGTATTCAATATCCATTTAATCAGTCAATATTGTTTTTGTCTTTTTTTTTTCTAACACTCTCAAAAACAAAATCAAGAAATGCAAGTTAATTATATCTTCAAGAATGTACCATACTTAAATTTCAGAATATTTTTAAGACAATGGATTATCCAAATGGAATGAACAGAACAGGGGACGATAAGGAAATCAGTTCAACCATGAGGTTGAAGATGAACTGGCACAAAAACAAGGAATATACAGTACTCTTAAAATATATGTGCTGATTAATAGAAGCAGGTGGAAGGAATGTTCTCTTTACATTTTTGGGCCACCACTATTCTAAGACAAGCAAGAGCTTGGCTTACACCAGAGGTTTTCAACCTTTTCTTCACTATGGATACCCTTTAAATACCTTTTGTGGCCACAGACCATGATCACGGACCACCAAGACTTAAAGTCTTAACTTAAATCATAACATTTCTTTTTCTTTTTTTAGAAAAAAGGTTGCAGTTTATTGAAGAACATTTCTTCAAGCCTTTGTGGACCCCATGACATCCCAGACCCCCAGGGGTCCACGGACCACAGGTTAACCATCGTCACCATTAATTTTTCACCCAGTAGCAGCAGTAATACATAAGAAAAGTCATAAGAGCAGTGCTATTCATAGATTGTGATCTGTCATAGTGCCATCTCCTATGGAACAGTCTTATCTTTTGAGATTTAAAGAATCAAAGATCTCTTAGTCTTTCAAAAAACTGGCCTTTTCCACAGACGTTACGGCTAGAGCCCCCAAAATATGTATATTCTATATAATGCCTTAATGGTTTTTCTATGAATTTATTTTTAATTTTGATCATGGAGTTTTGTTTTTTTTTCAATAAAATTTTTTATTATTTTCATCATAAAGAGAAAACATACAAATATAACACAAATATAATATAGAACCCGCATCCCCCACCCCCCCACCCCGAGACTTCCCAAACCTAATCCCAGGATAATATTCAAATATAAGTAAACAATTAATAATATCTCTAACTCCACAAGGTATATAAGTTCTGCATGAATAAAAGAAATATATACATAAAAAAGAACCAGTTAATTAAAAACCTAAATTATATTCCACTATTCTATGCTTCTTTTGTATATAAACAATCCATCT